TTTTTCTCGATGTTCAACACCGTGGTCCATCAAGACGTTGATTTGACAAGAATCGAGAAATTCCAACACCTTCGATTAAGTCTACGTGATGCCGCCCTGGATACAATTCGGTCGTTAGAAATAAGTGAACCCAACTATGATAAGGCCATTTGTTTATTGAAGGCTCGGTTCAATAGTAAACGTTTGAATTTCCAGGCTCTTATCAGAGATATTGTTCAGCTGAAGAGGGTAGAGGGTGAAAAGGTAGCCAAACTTCGTGAACTCAGCGATGATCTAAATGCTCACTTGCGCGCGTTGCAGACTGTGGGAACAAAGGAGCAGATCGCCGACTGTTTATTAATTCAGCTAGTTTCTCAAAAGGTGGACATGAAGTCTCGTGCCAAATGGGAAGAGCAAACACCTGCAAACGAAATACCAACGTGGGATTCGATGGCTACATTTTTAGAACAACGCTGTCAGCGACTGGAAAATGTAGAAAACGCTCTTGCGACGCCGGAAAAACAGGTAGGAAAGAAACTGTCTTATAACAACAACAATCGCAAGGTTTCGTTAACATCGGCTGCAGTTGGGTGTACATTATGCAGCTCTAGCGAACATCGAATTGCAAATTGTGAACGATTTTTAGGCCTGTCGCCTTTAATGCGTTACAAAGAAGCAAAAAGGTTGCACCTTTGCTTGAATTGCTTGAGACGTGGTCACTCTCTTAAGGACTGTAAGTCCGGCCAGTGTAGGTATTGCTCGTCGAAGCATCACAGTCTGCTTCATCAAGACACAAATTCATTTGCGAATTCTTCTGAAACATTGACGTGTGCTAAATCCCCATCGCAAGCACAAGCAACAACAATGCTCCCCACTTCTATGCACCCGTATTTGCCACATTCGTCTTCAACCTTCGGCCCATCAGCTTCTGCACTTGTCAGCTCTGAAGCTCAAGCTAGCTTTGCTAACCGAGATTTCGTTCTCTTAGCAACTGCCATCATTTATTTAAAAAATCGATCTGGCTCTCTCATTCCCTGCAGAGCTTTGCTAGATTCTGCGTCACAACTCAACTTCGTAACTAATCGACTTGTTAGTCAGCTTCAGTTAAAGAAAGTTAACTCGTCACAGTTCATTTCTGGCATAGGCCAAAATGATTTCACCACCAATCATATCGTTGATTTAAGGCTCCATTCGCGTGTTACTGATTATACGGCTAACTTGACAGCAGTCGTCACATCCACCATTACCGATATTCAACCAAGTCGCTCGTTAAAATGCGTTGATTGGAACATACCTTCGAATATACGCTTAGCGGATCCTTTTTTTTTTTAACCTCAACGCATTGACATGCTCATTGGAGCTAGCTTATTTTTCGACCTACTTTGCGTTGGTCAAATACGCTTGGCTGAAAGTATGCCAATTTTGCAAAAAACCAAATTGGGTTGGATAGTATCGGGCGCAACTGCGTACAACGCTGCAAAATTATCGTGCCTAACAGCCATCGACATGGCTCTAACAAATGACTCTGATGTCGAATTAAACAAATTAGTGGAACGCTTTTGGGAAGTAGAAACCTGTAAAGAATCTTCGCCAAAGACTACGGCAGAAGAAGATTTGTGTGAAGCTCATTTTTTAAAAAACTACAGACGTTTAAAATCCGGTGAGTTTTCTGTTCGATTACCAACAAAATTACCTTCGTTCGAACTGGGAGAGTCTTATCAGCAGGCTGTTAATCGGTTCAGAGCTTTGGAACGAAGATTGCAGCGAAATGCTGAACTTAAAAAACAATATTCATCGTTTATCAAGGAGTACCTTGATTTGAATCACATGTGAGTCGTTGACGCTATACCAAGCAAAGTTCCTATAAATTTTTTGCCGCATCATTGCGTTTTAAAGGCCGATAGCACAACAACAAAACTGCGTGTGGTGTTTGATGGCTCGGCGCCCACTAGCACTGGACGTTCGCTGAACTCGATCCTGATGAAAGGACCAACCATTCAACAACAACTTTTTGATATTTTGCTCTGATTTCGTACATTTAAAATTGCTCTTACAGCAGACATTTGTAAAATGTATCGCTGTGTAAGAATGTCTTATCCAGATAACTTTCTTCAATGCATAATATGGAGAGACAGCCCTAATGAAGAGTTCCGTATTTTTAAATTAGATACCGTCACCTAGGGAACAAAGCCTGCCTCTTTTTTATCGATTCGATCGATGCAGCAACTTGCCCAGGACGAAGCGCACCTCTATCCGGTTGGCGCTGAAACAATAAAACATGCATTCTATGTTGATGATATGATATCCGGCGCCGACTCGGTGGACGAAGCCAAGGTTATGCTAAATCAGACGAGGAAGTTGCTGTCTCTTGGAAACTTTCATTTGAGAAAATGGTGCTCAAACGATAATCGCGTTTTGACTGATATAGCAGCTAATGACAAACAGGAATTCCTAAAGTTCGATGATGATACACACATAACAAAGGCACTTGGATTGGTTTGGGACCCCAGTTTAGACGTTTTTATATTTTCATTTTCGCCTTTTGCAACGCCGGCCAAGGTAACTAAGCGTACTATTCTTTCAGCCATTGCTAGACTGTATGACCCGCTTGGTTTGATCGGACCTGTGGTGGCCAAGGCCAAAATATTCCTGCAGCAGTTGTGGAAGGAGGAGCTACATTGGGATGAAAGCCCATCGCAGGCAATACAATCGGAATGGCTGGAAATGTGCAGTCAATATAAGCTAGTTGCACATTTTAGTTTCGACCGATACCTGCTAATGCCCGAAGCTGACCTACAGATGCATGCCTTTTGTGATGCAAGTGTTGCTGCTTATGGGGCCTGCATATACATACGAGCTGAAAGAGAAGGATACATTCAGACCAATCTGCTTTGTTCCAAATCGCGCGTTGCCCCGCTTAAAACTCTTACGGTACCAAGGCTTGAGCTGTCTGGAGCATTGCTGCTAGCCGAATTGGTCTCCAAGGTAATCAATTCCATGCATTTCAAAGGCAGGATATTTTGCTGGTCGGACTCCACAATAGTACTGTCGTGGTTGCGTAACGAGCCAGCCAACTTCAACGTTTTTGTCGCTAATCGCATTCACGCAATTCAAACCCTAACTAAAGGAATGACCTGGAGCTACGTTCCAACTGAGTCCAACCCAGCAGACATTATTTCAAGAGGAGTTAGTCCGAAGGAGCTGTTGAACATGGACTTATGGAAATACGGACCATCTTTTCTTGCCAGCAGTCAACATAACTGGCCGAAATCTCCTCTTCTACCAATAAATGACTGCCCGGAAAGTCGAAAGCGTGCTGTTGTATTTGTTACCACAGTAGACATTTCATTAAACTGCAAATTTGTTAATTCTTTTGTTCGCTTACAGAGAGTATATGCCTACGTTTATCGATTTTCTCGACCAGCTGTAAGGAGATGTTCTGGATTCCTCACCACCATGGAATTACAAGAAGGAACCTTTTTGCTTATTCGCATGATACAGAAAACACATCTTCGAGACGAGTACAAAGCACTCGAAGCTAGAGAGGTGGTAAAGACTTCATCTGAAATTCGTTCGCTTAACCCGTTCCTCGACGAGCGTGGATTGCTTCGAGTCAGCGGAAGACTTCAAAATTCGGATTTGGAGTTTTCATCGAAACACCCAATTATTCTGCCAAAACGTCACCCGGTGACTGACGCAATCATCAGCAGTTTTCATAGAAAACTGTTACACGCTGGACCACAATCGCTATTGGCATCCATTCGTCTGCAATACTGGCCTGTGGGCGGTCGCAAAACCGTGAATCGAGTCATCAACAAATGCATACGTTGTTTTCACGTCAAACCTAAACTAATGGAACACTTAATGGGAAACTTACCATCTGAAAGAGTTCAATGCAATTAGCATTCCTAATTACCGGAGTAGACTTTTGTGGACCATTTTTTTACAACTCGGACGTTAGAAATCGACCTCCAGGTAAATGCTACGTTTGCATATTTATTTGCTTCGTAACCAAGGCGGTTCATTTGGAGCTGGTGAAAGATTTGGCAACCTCTTCCCCTCTCGCAGCCCTAAATAGATTCATTTGTATGCGTGGTAGACCGCAAACCATATGGTCGGACAATGCCACTAACTTCGTTGGTGCAAAGAATGAATTATTGGAGCTGAGGAACTTATTTTTGAGTCAACAGCATTTGAAAGTAGTTCACGAGCAGTGCGCAAATGATGGGATTGATTGGAAGTTGATACCCCCTCGCTCCCCTCACTTCGGTGGCTTATGGGAAGCCGCAGTAAAAATGGCCAAATATCATTTTCACCGAGTTGTTGGCCTTTCAACGCTAAATTTTGAAGAGCTACGCACACTTGTGTGTCAAATTTCTGCCATTGTAAATTCTAGACCTTTATGTCCCATTACAGAGAGTCCTGGCGACCTAGAGGTATTGACTCCGGCACACTTCCTTATCGGCGCCTCCTTCTCTTCAATAGTGGAACCTGACATAACCGAGCTCAACATAAATCGACTCAGCAGATGGCAGCGCATATGCTACATGCAACAGCAATTCTGGAAGAAATGGCATGCCGAATATTTGACACTTCTTCAGCAACGCCAGAAATGGTATTCGCCGTCATCAAACTTAAAGCCTGGAGACGTTGTCTTGATCAAGGATGAGAACAATCCCCCACTAAGGTGGCCGCTTGCCAGGGTTATCGAAACCATCAGAGGAAAGGATCAGGTGGTACGAGTGGCCGTTCTGAAGACTGCAAGTGGCATATAC